GAGGTACAGAGAGGTTAAGTCACCTGGCCAAGCCAGCTGACAAGTGTTGGAGCCAAGTCAGCTTAGGATCCCTGGGGCCTGTTGGGTAGTGGTTCAACAAATGTCTGTTGTGCTCATTAAAAAAAAAAAAAGTTGAGTGGATCATGACACGGTGGATTGGATCAGGACTCTGAAGGACAGGTGGAAGTGAGTGAGGCTGAGAGAAGAAGGAAAACACTCCAGTGCTAGCTGCTGTTGTTCTTGTTGTTAGGTGTCATCAAGTTGGTTCCGACTCATAGCAACCCTACGTACAAGAGAATGGAACACTGCCCGGTTCTGCGCCATCCTCATAATCGTTGCTCTGCTTGAGCCTGTTGTTGCAACCACTGTCAATCCATCTCATTGAGGGTCTTTCTCTTTTTCGCTGACCCTCTACTCTACCAAGCATGATGTCCTTCTCCAGGGACTGGTCCCTTCTGATAACACGTCCAAAGTATGTGAGATGAAGTCTCGCCATCCTTGCTTCCAATGAGCATTCTGGCTGTAATTCTTCCACGGCAGATTTGTTTGTTCTTCTGGCAGTGCACGGTATAGTCAATATTCTTCACCAACACCATAATTCAAAGGCATCAATTCTTCTTTGGTCTTCCTTATTCATTGTGCAGCTTTCACATGCATATGAGGCAACTGAAAACACCATGGCTTGGGTCAGGCACAACTTAGTCCTTAAACTGACATCTTTAAGTCCTTAAAGTACTAGTTAGAAAAGTATATGTGTGTGTGAGAGAGAGAAAGAAAGAGATGGAAAAGAGAGAGATGCAGACATACCCAGAGGCATAGAACTGGCCCTGCAGGATGACAGGAAGGACTCACATGGAGGAAAACCAAGAGGTAAGTTGGGAAAGGAAGGATGAGGACAGATAAGTGAAAGCCTTGAACGCCCTAATATGGAGACTGAACTTGTCAGAACAGCCATCCCTGAGACTCCAGAGGACATTCCTGAACTCCTTGACCCAAGGAGCCACCTGGCACCATTTGACTTCTAACCTCACACCCGCCCTCCTGTCGCAACACCCAAGCCCAGGTTCACCTCCCCAGGGCACCCCTGAAGGGCCGAGGGGGTGGGTCCCAGGAGGTGGGGCAGGGCAGGGGCCCCGCTGAAGGTCATCGAGGCAGGCGCGTGCACCTCACGGATGTGCTGGAGCGGCACTGCTGGGCACTGACACAGGCAAACACGTTTGAGCAAATTGGGACGCCATAAAAGTCTATTACAGCAAATCAAACAGCAGTCAGCATGACAGCCATTAGCCCAAAATGAATACACGGGGACTTAATGAGGTCTGTCGAGGCTGGCTTGGTGAATTAAGTTGCCAATTCTAGCAGGATTTCCCTTTTCTTTACGGACTTGAAAGCATCCACGCTGCCTCGTTAGGGCTTCGACAAGTGAATTGCAGGGCCTTTCACCCTGATAAAATGGATAATTACATGTAGAACAGCTTAGTGAGGGGAGAGGGGTGGGCGGAAGGGGAACCAAGAACAAACAAACCCAAACACACACCTGCCTGACTTTTCCTGAGCAGGGGCTGGGCACGGGCCAGGGGCCTTCAGAGGGAATGGGGCCCAGAGTGCAGCGGGCAGGGTGGCAGGTGGAAAGGGGCAGTGCCTGTTCTTGAAAGTACTCCCATCCCTCCTATTCCAGGCCTGAGGGACTTGGGTGGGTTTCTGGGGAGCACGTCTTCAGGCAGCAAATTTTCATCAAAGATGAGCTGTCTTCTAGCATGCCCTGAAAACTCTCAGGTGGGGAGGACCACTGGCCTCCCCAAACCTCACTGCCACTGAGTGAGTTTGTTAAAAATCCAGCTTCCTGGGCCTTTCCCCTACCTACTGAATCAGAATTGCTGCAGGGGCCTGGGAATGTACATTCTAACTAGTCCCCCAGGAAATACTGATGAGGCATGTTTGGGACTCTCTGAGTCAGCCCTTCCCCAACACTCAGTGCTGGACAGCTTCTGAGACATGTGGTCCTCCAGTTTCTGCTTGCATAACTCCAGGGACGGGGAGCTCAGTATGTCCTCTGCGGATAGGAAGTAGATTGCAGGGAGAGTCTCACTGTTAGAAAGTTCTTCCTTATGTAGATGTAGACTTGGAATTTGCCTCCCTGTAACTGCTTAGCTGCCGATTCTGGGCTCAACAGCCCCAATTATTAGGGCTCCTAGGGCTGGGAAGCGGACCTTAGGAAGGTAAAGGGTAGGGGGCAGGGGGCTAGGATGACCAAAAGAGGACCTGAGTAGACGGAGGCAGCCACTGGGGTTCTCCACCATTCCTTGAGGAACAATAATGTACTAAGGGTAAGAAAGGGCTTCTCCCACTGGTTTTCATCCTCAGATCATGGATGCTGGCCTTCAAAGGGATCTGGGCCAACTCCCTAATTTGACAGCTGTTGAGACTGAAGCCAGCAGAGAGGCAGGGACAGGTCTAAAGTCTCACCCAGCGAGTCACTGACATAGCCAGGAATAGAACCCAGGTATCTATCATGACCTCCAGTCTCCCTCTTCCCACAACACAACACAGAGTGCCCACTTCTCATTTCAACAAGAGTCTGATGGAAATCCACCTCCTCCAGGAAGGCTGCGGAGATTTCTCTGGTCACTGTGGCAGCCCCCTCTGCACTCACCCATCCCAGGGTCTGCACACCCCGTCCGTTTCGCTGGTTTTCATTCTCACCCTGTTCACATCTGCAGGGCTTCTCCCACGGAGTCACATTTCTCAAGGGCAGGGGCCTGGAGTTTCCAGAGTAGCCTCAATGCAAGCAGAAGACCCTAAGCTCGATTCCGAGTGGGGGGCCAGCAGGTTCTTTGCTGATAACCCAGCAAGGGCCCCAGCCTGGCAACTAAGTTCCGGCTCAGGTGACCACCCCAGGCCAGGGCTGGTCAGTGCCAGGCCATCTTGGGTCAGGAGTGGCCCAGCCTCTGTCCAGCTGACACCACATCTCCACTGGCCACACTGAGCCGCTGGAGCAGGGCATCGAGTATCAGGCCACCTACGTGACCGTGGATGTTTACACTGAACAAGTAAACCGCACGGGCCTTTCTCCAAGGACGGTGTGTCCTTTGCATCGGCCCCTCTCTTTTCACTCTCTTCCGATCAGATGGGCAGGAGGCAGGCCACTTTATCCCACCTGCCGTTTTATTTTTCTTTTATTAGATAAGGAGGATTATGGCCCAGAGAGGTTAAGTGATATGCCCAAATGGATCTAGCAATTTGGGAGCAGAGCAGGGGACTAGACTTGGGGTCCACTGCCTTCTAGTTCCAGGTCCTGTCATTCTCCATTGCTACAGCCTCCCAGGTCTCTGCAAAGCAAGAGCCTGGCCCAGAGCCAAGTGTACTGCAGATGCTCAATAAATATTTGTTAAATAAATGAATGACTGAAGAGGCTCTATCCTTAGAGGCAGAGACCTTTGGAGAATCCCAAGGGATTCCGACAGGCCTGGGTATTGGAGGCCACATCTCCTGGCACAGAGGAGAGGAAAAGGCTGGCCTCTGGCCCAAGGGCATGGGAGGAGTGATGTGACCCCTCATCCCCTTGCCATTGCTGCTGCCTGCTACCCACTGCATGGAAGACAGAGGGCAGCCATGCCTGCCAGGATGGCAGCTGAGCAATGGGTCCAAGGCTCATTAACTCTGAGCAGTGTCCTTGGTTTCTGAGCCCAGGCGCGGAGTGCAGGCTGGCACGTAGAGACTCTTAATTAAATTAGGGAGACTTCCAAATGAGAGGCAGCCCGGAGTCAAGCTGCAGTCCCTGGGCATACTGGCCACAATGCAGGGCACTGTGCCCCCATGCTGAGGACTGCGGCTCTCCCTCCTGCACCCCTGTCCCAGGCAGGGGAAAGGCAGGGCAACCTCTGGACCTCCCCATCTGCACATCTGACCTCACTTCCCTCCATGTGGTACAAGCGTAGGACCCTTGGCTCTCAGTGAGTAGGCAGGACCAGGGCCAGGGCCTGGGGGCAGGAGACGAGATCTCTTCATCCTCTAGGGAATCTGAGTCTGCCCTGGAGTTAGGAGGCTCAAAGTCAAGGCTGTGTGACCTTGGGCAAGTCACTCTCCCATGCTAAGCCTCAGTTTTCTCATCTATAAACTCAACAGGATGCTCTCTAAAGGCTCTGTAGTTCCCTCATTCAGTGACTTGTAACATAAAGGAGCTAGAACGCAAATGCCAGGGTGCCAACCTGCCTCTAGAACGGATTCCATCTCCCATTGCTCCCATCCCAATCCTTCACTGCTGCCGCCCAAGCCGGTTAGAATCTCTTTGTACACCGCCTTCAGGGTTCTTAAATTGCTTATTGCCAACACAGAAGACTGCTATCAGCCACCCGGGAGAGGGACAGCAAGCAGTGACAACCCTGGTGCCATCGAGAGCCAGCAGCCAGCTTATTAACGAACCGTTTGTAATGCAATAATTTGTACTTCTCAATTACCAGCAATGGCTTGATTTTACGTGCATGCACTCATGCAAACATACTCAGAGTACACAGACGACCCAAAGAAGCCAGGGCCAAGGAGACGATGGTGGGGGGAACATAGGGCTGGGGAAAGCCCCTTCCTGGAACCATGGCCTCTCAGTGTCCTGGGGGACCTGACTCTGGCCAAAGCAGGAAGGCCTGCAGTGAGGCCTGCCAACCCACCCGGCACACAGCCCACACTTAGTGATGAATGGAAGGAAAGAGGACACAACAGCTGCCTCCCATCTTCTGTCCCACCCTGGACTCCACTGGGGACTCAACCAAGGCAGGCCTGTCTCAGGCTCCACCGAGCCACTGGCCCAGCCACTCTTCTGGACTGCCAGCTGGGCCTCCTGTCCGGCACGTCCACCAGCCTGCCCAGAGCTGTTACCTGGGCTGAGGCGTGGGTAGAAGAAAAGCTGGAGCTGCTGTCCCCAATTGACTTTTCCATCTACCCCCAGACAGTTGGGGAGCAGCGGCCCCAATGTCCTCCGAGTGGGACCCTCCCCAAGCTCCTACCTCAGGGATGCGGACGCTGTAGGGCTGGTTGTGAAATGTGGGTGCGTTGTCATTCACGTCCCCGACCTGGATGTTCACCTTCCGTGTGATCACCTGGCAAGCGAAGGGCAAGAGTTAGTGTTGGCATCAGCCTCTGGCCTCTCTCTACCCCAGGAGCCCAGGGACCCTGCCAAGCCCAGGAACATGCCTCCCGGGGCAGCAGGGGCCTCGGGGGACACTCACCCCCTGGTGGTCGCTGACAGAGAACTCCACCGTGAATTCTGACTTGGTCTGAAAGAAAAGAAAGGGAGAGTTAGAGAGGCGAGCTGAGGTACCAAGTCCTGAGTTCTAAACGGAGCAGGACAGCCTCCAGCATTGCCCCAGGAATTTTTTTGGGATTTGGCTTCTAAACCCCCAACCCAAACCCGATGCCACTGAGTCGATTCCAACTCACAGCAACCCTATAGGACAGAGTAGAACTGCCCCATAGAGTTTCCAAGGACCACCTTGTGGATTCGAACTGTCGACCTTTTGGTTAGCAGCCATAGCTCTTAACCACTGCACCACCAGGGTTTCCTAGGCTTCTAAAGGCTCTCCTAAAAAATCAGCATTGGCCTTTGTTTTCATGAAGCAGGATAGGATACGGATCCTTTCCATAAACGAGCAATAGATTAAAAGTCAGAAATCTTGGGTTCCAGTCTTGGCTCTACTCTAAATTGCTGTGTAATCTTGAGCAAGTCACTAGACATCTCTGGGGCCACCTCCTCAAATGTAAGAAGAGGGCAGGAATTGAGGTTTTGTTCAAAGCCCTACCTTAATTTGCTAAGGGCTACCATGCCATTGGAGTCCCTGGGTGGCATAAACGGTTAAGCACTTGGCTGCTAACCGAAAGGTTGGTGGTTCAAGTTCACTCAGAGGTGCCTCAGAAGAAAGGCTTGTATATCTATTTCTGGAAAATTAGCCATTGAAAACCCAATGGAGCATAGTTCTACTCTGACACACATGGGGTCACCATGAGTCAGAGTCAATTTGACGGCAAGAGGTTTTGTTTGGTTTTCATTTATTATGTCATCAATTCCTGCTTCTCTGGAAAACATCCTTTGAGGAACATTTGTTTGGCGGGGGATAGACTTCTATGCCCCACAGAGCCCCATTCCACAGGGAATGAACCCAGAGTTACTGTCCCCTTTGCCCATCCAATTGGATGGTGACACTTAGAGACACCTCCAACTATTCCACTCCATTCCCAGTCCAAGACATCAGCACTGAGGGATACCACTTAGGCAGGAAGACACGACTTCAGGGTCAGAATGGAATCTAAGGGGAAAGCCCCTAAAAGATGGTGAGCCGCCCTTCCCCAGGGTCTGCTCCTGCCCCCCCAGGAAAGGGGTACAGGCAGGACTTACTTCTCTGTCCAGTGGCTGCCGAAGCCACACCACACCGCTGTCAGGCTCCACGGCAAAGAAGCGAGAGGCCTCCTCCCCAGACACGCCAAACACCAGGGGGTCGTTGTCCATGTCTCGGGCCAGCAACTGGGTCACAGAAGAGCCTGGAGTATCCGAGGAAGAGAGCAACGGGCAGAAATGGAAGGTCAGGTCCATTCCTTGGCACCTTGCTCCCAGCAAGGAGAAGCTATCCAGCGAACCTCTAGTTGGTCACTGACAATCCCAAGATGCTTGTGTGTCATTGGGCTCTGACCAGGCTCCCACCTTCACCTGATCCACTTGTCACAGTGTATGTGCCTTTAGCTGGAAATCATCACCATATTCCTGCCCTCAAGAAGGGAACGAAGGGGTGGGTGCCACCCTGCACCAGGAAGTAAAGCCCTGGCCAGAGGCCACCTCAGGTACCAGCATGCCTGGCTGCAGCCCTGCCTGACAGGCCTAGCACAGGGCATCTTCTCTTGGGTTCACAGCCCCCTAGGTAGCCTACAGGTAAGGTGGTCAACTGTCCTGGTTTGCCTGAGACTGAGGCATTTGCTGGGACATGTGCTAAAACCAGAAAAGTCACAGGCACACCAGGACAGCTGATCACCTTAGCTTCAGGGTGTCCTTAAACCCCAGGGGCTGTGTGCAAAATGTTATGAGTGTACAGTGTGTCATTTTCTGCAGAGAGGGACTGTGGTCTGCATCTGACTCTCAAAGGGGAGGTTAGATTAGAAACCGTGGCCTTGGGCAAATCGCATCTTTTAAAACTTTACCCTATGAAGTGGATGGACTCCCTCTTGTCCTCAAATACTGTCATATTTACTGAACGGCTCTGAAGATCAAGCTAAGTATGGAAGGATTCCAAACTCTAAGAATTTTATCTAGAAAAGAACGCTAATAAACTTTTCTAAGCAAACTTTCAAAAGGACAGTTCAGTTTTAACATGACAGTGGTAGCTGCCCTTTTTTAGGATAACCGTATGCCAGGCACTAGGCAAAGCGATCTCTCATTTAAGGAAACCCTGGTAGCTCAGTGGTTAAGAGTTCGGCTGCTAACCAAAACTTCACTGGCAGTTTGAATCCCTCAGGTGCTCCTTGGAAATCCTGTGGGGCAGCTCTACCCTGTCCTATACGGTGGCTATGAGTTGGAATCGACTCGACGACAATGGGTTTTTTTTTTTTAATTATCACATTTGGAGCCCTGGTTGCTCAGTGGTTAAGCGCTGGGCTGCTAACCAAAAGGCAGCAGTTCAAATCCACCTACCACTCCTTGGAAACCTATGGGGCAGTTCTACTCTGTCCTATACAGTCACTATGAGTTGGAATCAACTCGATGGCAATGAGTAAGTATTATCTCATTTGAGGAGCCCTGGTGGCGCAGCGGTTAAAGCACTCAGCTGCTAACCAAAAGGTCAGCGGTTCAAACCCACCAGTCTGCTCTGCAGGAGAAAGATGTGAAAAGATGTGGCAGTTGGCTTCTGTAAAGATTTACAGCCTTGGAAACCCTATGGGGCAGTTCTACCCTGTCCTACAGGGTCGCTATGAATCAGAATTGATTTAATGGCAGTGGGTTTGGGTATTATCTCACTTAATCCTTACTATTATCCCATTTAATTCTTACTGTTATCTCATTTAATTCTACTATTATCCTCATTTAAGAGACAAGGCAACAAAGAGTGATTAAGTAACTTAACCAGGGCCACACAGTTAGTTAGTAAGATGGATTCAAACTCAGGCCCAAGTTTGTTTCCACAGACTTAACACATCTTAAGACTTGAGGCTTACATGAGCATGACCTTATCAGACCCTAACTGGAAGCCAAACACTAAAAAAGGAAGATGGTGGTCATTTTAGTGGCATTTTTGACATGCCAGACACCAAGCTAGGCCCATTCATGAGTTCTCTCATTAAATCCTCCCGCATCTCTATTTGGTAGTCATCATTCTACCCATTTCACAGATTAGAAAGTCAAGGGTCAGAGAGGCAAAGTAGCCCCGCTGAGGTCACACATCAGAACAGCAGAGCATCCAAGATGATAGGAGGAGGTGATAAGTGAGAGGAGGAGTAAAACCATGGAAGAGAGCTGGAACAACCTCAGAGACTTCTGGGGGGCACAACCTTCCATTTTAAAGATGGAGAAGCTGAAGGCATTTAGCAAGTTGCCCAAAGTAAGATGATGAGCAACAAAGTCAGGACTCAGACCAAGTTTCCAGACTCCCAGTCCAGTGCTCCTTCTAGATGGAGAAGGATGGAGATAAATGAAGTCATAAATAAACCAAGCACATCTTCCCAAAACTTCCATGTTGCTCAATGACAAGCAATTATTTTATACTAAAACAAACAGGAATATGTTAGGAGCAGAATGTAAAATTGAGTTTCTTTTTAAAAACACCATCTAAAGCTCTGAAGAAATTTCCAGCCTCCCCCAGACTTCCAAGGACACTTCTTCCCTTTCCTTGGCCCTCAGGGGTCCTTTAGTGGCAAAGTTTGAGAAACACTGAGCTACCCCCCAATGCCTTGGGGAGCGCCTACATGGGGAAACTGAGGGTCCCTGCTGGTCCAAGTACAATGAGTCCATGGAAGTCTGCAGCCTCCGCCCAACCTACCCCCAACACACACACCGAAAGGCAGACCTCCCCTGCCAACCTCCTTCCAGGCCCAGCCCAAGGTGGGTGGGGGGCTGAGCTCCTGGCTGGCCAAGGGGATCCTGGGAAGGCTAACTGGTCGTCCAACCAAGGTCACACAACTCCGCCAATATCCCAAATGGCTCTCTCAGGCCCAATGCTCAGGCCCTTCTGAGAAGGGGGGGCCCTGGGCAGGACAGGGATGGGGCCATCAGCTGCTGTCACCCACCCTGTAATTTCCTGGACTTTTATCCATTTTCCCCTCAATTATGTGCTGCTCAGAATGGTCCTTTTCGGCTTCTTCATGGGCTCTTACCTGCTCACGCCTTCTTTGTGTCCCAGGTAATTGTTAGTGACCTTTTCTAAGTGTACTAATTAAAGGTGCTGATTTAATATTATATTAAAGACAAGACGCACCGCAATTTTCCAGCTGGGCAGCACACTCTCCCACCCACCTATGTTCTACCACTCTACAGAAGCTGGCCCCAGCCTTGGCTTCTCCAGAAAGCAAAGTTTGTCTACACCAGGGAAGGCTTCCAGGGACCTCTGTTTGCACCATTTCGACAAGAATGAGGACACTCCATGGGCCCAACTCCAGCCTACTGCTCATGGGAATCATCCCTGGCTGTGACCTTGGGGTACAGAGGCCACACTCTGGGTTTGGTCCCACCCGAGAAACAGAATGTATCAGCATCTCAGGGCTATAGAATACCTGTAGTTCTTTCTAGTAGTAAGAAGGATACTTAAGGATTCCCAGGGACTGGGGTGCTCCCTGTATGGTGGACAGATGGGAGATGGGATGCTCTCTGTAGCAGATGCTCTGGGTACTGTAGCCATTACCCTACAGCACATACCATTTCCACGCACACCAGCCTGACTTCCAACTACCAACCCCTATGACTCTGCTTGAGGGTTTCTGGCCATCAGAGTCTACTCTATCCACCCACAGGACAGGCTGGAAGTGTCAAGGAACTAAAGCCACTGATAGTAGCACTCAACGAATGACTGATGGAAGACGGTGGATAAAGACAAGAGTTGGTAGATAAATGCCCAGCTCCCTCCCCTGTTCTACACTGGTTCTTAGAGTTCCCCAATGGGGATTAGTCTCAAGTGGAGACTTGATTGATAATGCATCTTTATGACTTCCCTCCCTTCCCTGTCTCATATCCTCATTCTCCGCCCTGTGTCTCCTGGAATCCCCTCCTCAATAAACTATTTGCACTTGAATCCTCATCACAACATCTGCTTCTGGCGGAACCCAAATAATACACCTCCTAAAAAGGTTGGCATCAGAACCACCTATGGAGCTTCTTCCAATACAGATGCCCAGGCCCTGCTGACTCAGTTGGCTGGGGTACAGCCAGAGTCTACTCTCTAAGAGCTTCCTCCCCTCTCCCTGCAAAAGACTCTGATGGATGGTCAGGCTTGGAAATCCTGGCTAGTTTATAGCTGGGTAATATTCAAATATTTAACAACGGCCACAGTACAAGCATCAACCAATCAGAAAAGACTCTGGCCATAAACAATGGACCGGTGAGGACTGACTGTAAGTCAGTCTGGTTTATGGCACACATTTCAGATGCAGAGAAAAGCTCCTCGGGTCCCAGGATGATTTAAAGGCTCACTCTTATGGCTCCAGGCTCAATCAATGCAGCTGGACGACCTCCGTGCACTTGGCTTCCCTCTACCCTCATGGTGAAGGGTAACTCAGAGAGGCTGAGCCCCTGCACGGTGCCAACCCAATCCAGGCTGGGTCCCAGCCTAACTCATGGGTAGAAAGTGGAATTTTAAAGCACTTAAATAATGACTTAAATCAGATCATGGCTAAGGCCATAGTGCTCGGGCTGGGGCCACACATTCCAGGGCATCAAGCACCAGGCTCCCTGGGCTCACTCCACTATGGCCCCATGGGCCTTCTTTCTGTTCCTGAACAGGCCAAGTTTATTGCTGCATCAGGGCCTGTTACAGATTGAATTGTGCCCCACCCCCCAAATGATATGAAGTCCTAACCCCTGTACTTGTAAATGTGACCCTGTTTGGAAATAAGGTCTTTGAAGATGTTATCAGGTTAACATGAGGTCATAAAAGAGCAGGGTGAGTCCTAATCCAGTTTGAGTGGCGTCCTAATAAAAGAGGAGAAGAGATAGAGAAAGGAAGCCTTGTGAGGCTGCAGCTGCAAGCCAAGGAACACCCGGAACTACCAGAAGCTAGAGGAGAGGCATGGAACAGAGTCTCCCTCAAAGTCTCAGAAGGAATCAACACGGCCGACGCCCTGGTCTTGGACTCCCAGCCTCCAGAACTGTGGGACAATAAATCTCTGTTCTTACAACCACCCAGTTTGTGGTATTTTGTTATGAGATACATAACAAAATATCCCTAGGAAATGAATACAGAGTCTTTGCCTCAGTTGTGCATTCTGCTGGGAATGTTCTACTCTATGCTTGCGGTACATGCCAGCTTTCTCATTATTCACCTCTCCGGTCAAAAGCTGTCTCCTGA